TGTTTTGATTCTCATCTGTTCTTGATTTTTTTTAGATTGCGGCATGATGTGTTGCTCTTTAAGCATGCTTCACTTTGTCAGACAGGTTCTATTTAAGAGACAGTAATCAGGTCTGGCAGTAATCAGGCCTGGGTGTGGCTAGGGAAATTTAACTCAGCTTTCTAAAATAATGTGATTAATTTCAGTTCTTTCATGATTTAACAGGAGGGGGCAATTAATTTTTCACATAGAGCCACGTAGGTTTGGACAGCTTTTTTCCCTTAATAAATGAAAACATAATTTAAAAACTGCATTTTGTATTTACTTGCATTATCTTTGTGTAATATTAAAATTAGTTTGATGATCTGAATCTTTTAAGTGTGACAAATGCAAAAAAAACACAAAAAACAGGAAGGGGGCAAAAACCTTTTCACACCACTGTACTTGAATTAATTGAGAGAGAGAGAGAGAGAGAGAGGTGACAGTTGCCTGAGTGAATTAGCCTACCTGCGTCTGTGCGTCTCTCCAGTAGGCTATTTAATCTATTTTATTAATAAAAGTCACGGGGCAGCATTCTCAAGAAGTTTGTGTTCTCCTGAATGTTTGTACACGTGCGCAGCGCGATCTCTGATCTCACAAACCAAAATAATAGACATGATTTTCTCAGGCCACATGTAAAATCATATGAATTATTATCAAGAGTATTAAAATTAATACGTATGGATGACAGTTGATTACAATAATATTTCAGTTTATTTCCATCATTAGTAACAGTTTCCCCTGTGGGACAAATAAAGTTATTATTAGTCGTATATTAATAATAGGCGACTTCATTAACTTTGTTATTTACTATCCCTGTTGTAGTATTATTCAGAAGTAAAAACCAACAATATTTTTTTTTCACCATGTTTCCAAATTCTGTACCCCAGGTCCAAAAGAAATGTAAAGAATGTACAAACTCAAAACAATAAATACTTCTGTGATCTATTTCCATTTGTTATTTTCAAAAGAGAAATACTGTCATGATGTTTACAGAGCAGAGGTCACCTTTTTTTAATTCCAATGGGAGAGATGGACTTTTGTTTGTCTTTTGTTTATTATTATTTTGTGCTGTATTGTTGGTTACTGTGTTATTTATGTTTCAAAAGCCAGCAATAAATAGCACTTTAATATCTAAAGAGTGTTCATGTGATTTTATAAATTAGTAATGTTGGGAAATTAATACATGCATAATAATCGTCATAATTGTAAACTGTGATGATTCCTCAGACAATAATCGTACAAACTAAATCTATAATCATTGCGTCCCTAATTTTGACATAATTTTGTATGTATTTGGCCGTTTACGCGCAATAAAGCCCCGTTCACACTGCCAGCGACAAGGCGACACATATTCATTTTCAATGGAGAGCTGGCGACTTCCAGCGACAGTGACCGTTGGCGACAGAATGTGGGCGTGTCAAGCGATGCGAGTCAAGCAACAAAAGTTAGGAATTGTTTAGCTTTATGCAAATGAACAGCGAATTTCACGAGCGACAACCAATAGGAGTGAAGAATCTGTCAGTGGCGCTCACACGTCACTGTCTCGAGTGCAGGCAAAACAGGACAGTATTTTTATTTATTTTGTGAAAGTCGCTCTATGTGCGTGTGCTTTGGGTGTGAGCTCACAGAAAGCAGTCTCACAGTTTAAAATTGTAAGACTCAAAAGGACGTGCAAATGATACATTCCGTCATCTGTCCCGAGCGACTTTCACGCTGAAATATTTATGGGAATTTCCCGCTTTACAAGCGTGGAAACTGAAACACCCGCCAGTTGTATCAAAAAGCAGCCCAAATTTTATCAACTCGCCGCACACATTTTTTCCCGGTCTGATGTTACCAAAAGAAGCCCAATTGTGAGGGAACCCTCCCAATCTGGCAACACTACCAACAGTAGATACAGGCAACAAAGACAGACAAAAGACAGTGGCAACATGAGGGCTATCTATACACAAGACTAAATGACTAAACAAGGAACACCTGTGAACAATCAAGACAATGACCCAATCACAAAACAGAAATAAGAGCCACATGACCAAATCAACCAATAAGAACAAGACACATGAACAAGACAACCAATAGCAGGATTACATAAGGGCAAGGGAAACACATGACAGGATCCATAACTATGAAAAAGACAAAATAAAAGAAATGAAAACATGAACGTAAACCAAAGCCCAAAACCAACAGTGACGTAATAATAATAATAGTAATAATAATAATAATATATTAATACCACGTCCAGGCATGTGCTATATTACGTTTTTTACTATACTTTTTAATTTGAATTTTAATTGTTATTAAAAAAAAGAAAAGTTTACTATAATATAGTATACAAGTATGGAATCCCATACTTGGAATTTGTGCTCCGCATTTAACCCATCCAAGTGCACACACACACAGGACAGTGGCACCCGCCAAGCAGTTCGGGGTTCAGTGCCTTGCTCAAGGGCCTCACCTCAGTCATGGTATTGAAGGTGGAAGAGAGCGCTGGTCATTCACTCCCACCACCTACAATCCCTGCTGGTACCGAGACTCAAACCCACAACCTATGGGTTTAAAAGTCTGACTCTCTAACCATTAGCCCACAACTGCCCCTTAAACATGCAGATCATTCAGTGCTGTGATATATGTGAAAGTACCATGGTATTATCATCTGTTACTACTGTGTTACCTGCACTGTATATTTTCGGAAGTGTTTACACAGACTTTATGCTAATAACAATATGATTTCAATAAATATATTTTTCTTTCTATCTGTTTCTTGTTTGTTTTTTATAAGAAGTTTGCTTTCTCATGTTACCCTGCATACTGTTAGCATATAATGGACATATGATTTTCCGAGAGTAAAGTCTAACTCTTTGTCAGGCACTTACTCCTGGTCGGTGGCTGAGACGAATGGGGCGCTAGTGCAAGGAGGATATGGCCACAGCAGCGTTTATGACAGCTCCTCACATTCCATATATGTCCACGGAGGATACAAAGCCCTTCCTGCCAACAAATACAGCCTAGTGGATCATTTGTACCGCTATCAGGTCCACACGCACACCTGGTGAGTATCCATACTGTGTACATGTAATACTCTTTTAACTATGAAAAGTTTGTGTGCCCGTGTAACGTTGCGTGACTGTGACTAACCATTTGACTAACCCTTTCAGCCTCTGAATAAGACCTTAGCACATGTGAGCAGGAATCACATCTTTGCTAAGCCGATGAGTGTACTGACCAAGACTTTCCGACATGTGTGAAATATGATAGCATTTACAAATAAGCTAGTAGTGCCACTATAAATGATGCCAGGTTACTGTTGCCAGGCTGAGTTCTTTGGAGGTTTAATCCAAGAGGAATGATTCCAACATGCCAAACAGGTGTTTTATCTTTTTTTTAATAACCCTGCTGCAAAAAATAAGATAATTCAGCCAAAAATGAATCAATCAATGACATTTTTTGTCATCATTTACTCACCATCATATTGACATTCTTCCTTCTGCAGAACACAAAAGAAAATATTTTGATGAATGTTGGTAACTGTAACATTTATTATTATTTATTAGCTCTAAAAAGGGGAATAT